GCAGTTCGTGTCATTCTGTCAACTCCTGCGACGTCGCTGGAATCAGTTGTATTGGCTCTTGCCTTTCCATTGGACTATTGCAGTGATGTGGAGAGGGGAGATTTGCTGGTTGGGTAACAGCCTGTCTTCCATATTATTTTACCCAGGCTTCGTGCCCTGGAGAGGACACTCCAGCTTTGCGCACAGCATCAAAACACTAGACGCTGTTCCAAGTCCTCCATACATAGCACGTTACCATAATCTCTAGAGACTGAAGGATGCCTATGAATGGTGTATATATAGGATTTTACCTTAAAAACAAAAGCACTATAGGTCTGCTTGCACAATACATTGTATTTATGAGTTTTCAAAATTATTCTTGGTCCCACAAATTATTGTGTGGCAAAATGCAGTGCCTGGATTTGAAATTTTAAAAAATAACATTTTACTTGTTAGTCATTAATTCTTAAGAGCAAAATGTTGCTGGTTACTCCTAATTAATGGGGAATGCATTATTGAAGTGTTACTGTCAACAGACTTTTAATTTTTTTTTAAAAAAAATCACTACCAACCTACCTCACACTATCATTTCTGCAACAATGACTGAACACTCCAGTCTGTGGGGAAAGAAGTGGCCTCAAAACAGGGAAAAAGTAACAAGCATTATATAATGTTGTTACACACTGTTGCTGAGCTCAGGACAAATGCCATGAGCGAAGTGGGTGGCCATGGCTGTCTCCAGCAGCAATTCCTTAATTGTGGAAGTGAGATGTTACGATAAAAGGAAAGAAAGAATTTGTGATATAGGAAATTGAAAATTCTATGGGGTTAGTCTGGAGGCCACTGTGCAGTGTTCCTGTGGAATGTAAAAGGCATGGGCTCTTTTACTTGAGCCTTTCACTGATAAAGACTGACACACTCAGGGAAAAATGTCCTGTTCAACAATCCAGCCAAGTACAGTGTACTTATTTACGAAAGTGTTACACTGTAAACAGTCTCCACGGGCCGGAGAAGAAACCTCCTGGCATATGGGTCCCTTTGCATGTCAAGGACCTAGATAGAGCTGAGGCAACAGGTTGAAGTGGCTGCAGTCCGTTTGTATGTCTGTTTCATTTTTAGGCTGCCTTTCTCATGATAGGGGGACCCAAGGCGGCTCACAGTATTCAAAATAATAGAATTGAAATCATAGTAACCATAAAATATATACACTAATTAAAATACAATGGAATAATAAAAAGCCAGGAAACATTTTAAACCATCTCAACTTGAAAAAGGCGTGTCGGGATTCAATCATGATTGTTAAAAGCCTGCCTGAAAAGGTGGGTCTTCCGCTGTCAGCGAAAGGATAAAAGGGAGGGGGCCAACATATTCTCCTGAGGGGAGAGCACGCCGCAGTCCAGGCAAACCTGAAAAAAAGCTGTTGCTTCACTTAAGAGGAAAAGGCAAAAGAGAAACCTCAGCTATGAAGCACTGGGGAGATGGCATAGGCTTAGGAGACATTAAAAACTGTCCCAGCACAATCAAAACATCTGAGGGAGAGACATCGGCCAGATGGCGGTGAGTTGCAGCTATTTATAGGCACATTATTCCGAGAGATGCTGAGAATCCTTGGCGCAGCAGCAGGCATTGTCCTTGCAGCTGCCACTGCGAACCATCCTTTATGGCTGTCCCCAGGCCCTCCTCTGCCACTTCTCCACCTCCAGAACCCGTGCGGCCATCACTTTAGGCAAAAAGCTTGAAGACGCAAGGTGAGGAAGGACGGCCAGGAAGAGAGAAAGGTTGTTAGCCTCCGAGCCCTTTAGTGTAGCCAGACTCTTGAGATGCAAATTGATAAAGTTATTTTCCAGAGATTGAAAAGGAAACCCCATAGGCCAAGTTGTGGTCTTAAAATATAAAATAAATAGATGGCTTGTTTGCCTGTCTTTACTTCTTGGGAAATCTGGGGACTGGCATGAATCTCCTAATAGCCTCAGAGACAAGCTAAATGTGACAAAATCACACCCATGCCGTCAAATGTAGGACAAATGTAGGAATAGTGAGATGGGTAGATTTGAAGGGTTATAGGGCTAGGAGGCCAGGAAATCCTGACCCCTCTCCCTGTTAGTGGCTTTGACACCTACCGTGAACCCCACATTCTTTTCCCTTTCACCTTGGCTGTGGTTGCAGAATCATAAAATAATGGAGCTGGAAGGGGGTGGGTGGTAAAGCTGTCGAACCCAACACCCACCCTCCCTTACCTCAAGGCAGGAGTCCAAATCAAAGTGGATATGACAGATGACTATCTAGCTTTCTCTTGAATGCATCCAGTGTTGGAGAGATCAGTACATCTTGAGGTAATTGGTTCCATTGTCTTACTACTTGAACAGTATGTTTTTCCTAATATTCAACTGAAATGTGGCTTCCTGTAATGTGAACCCATTATTACACATCCTGCTTTCTGGAATTTGAGAACAGATCCTGCCCCTCCTCTGTATGACAACTGTTCAAGTATTGCTGTCATATCTCCCCTCTTTTCTCAAGGCTAGACATATTGAGTTCTTTCTATCTTTCCTCACAGGGCTTAGTTTCCAGTTCCGTGATCATCCTTGTTGCCCTTCTCTGAATCTGTTCCAATTTGTTGGCATCTTTCTTGGAGTGCAGTGTCCAGAACTGGACACAGAACTCAAGATGAGACCTAACCAGTGCCAAATAGAGGGGAACTAGTACCTCACAGGATTTGGAAACTATGCTTCTATTAATGCAGCCTAAAATAATATTGGCCTTTTTTGCAGCTGCATCACACTGCTCATACTCAGCTTGTGATCTACAATTATTTCAAGATTGTTCTTGCATGTAGAATTACTGAACTAAGAATCCTTCATCTTGTAACATTTTATAGGGTCTCCAAAAGGGCACAGGGTATGTTAGTCCTGATTGGTAAACCCTTTATTGGGGGGAAGGGACTGGTTTTCGAAGGCTTCTGCACATCTCTCATATACACAAAGGGCCAGTACTGTGGGATATTCTGCCTCAGATAGAAAGCCTTATCTGGTATTGATGGTGGGAGAAGGAAAAAGTGATGTCATTTGCTGCTCTGTGCCCAAAGGCAAATTGTTTTAGGCCAATCCTATATATACAGTATATATATAGGTATGTATAAATACGTGCATGTGTGCACACACATACATGAGGCAGCATTCAAATTGGCACCTTCCAGCCTTGGCTAGAAGTGTCACAGTACACAGTACTGTATTTCCTTACCCTTCTACCTCTTCATCTCTGCCTTGGCTAGAAGTGTCACAGTACACAGTATTTCCTTCTGCCTCTTCATCTCTATAAGACATAACAGATTGAGCAGTAAACCAGAGGGCTGAAAATGGATAATAAACAATGCTATAGTGGCATTAGAGGAACACACAAATCTTCCTTACACTTCTCATGATAAATCAGACTCCTGCAGCTTCACAGTCTTTGTTTACTCAAAGAGACAAGAGCTCATCAAGATTTTGGGCAGAGTCCCGACTCTGTTCTTGCGTGAGAGCTTTTTATCTAGGGATACCAGAGAATGTATCAGGAATTGTTTGCAAGCAAATCATGTGACCCACTACTGAGCTATGGATCCTCCTAAATACAGTACATTGGCATGAAGGAAGTATCCTAGACCATGAATGGAAAAAAGAAATGTTTAAAAACCATAAATGTCTAGGTATCAAGAGCACAAGCTTTTCTCATCTTTAATTAATTAAATTATTAATCACATGCTGTCAAATCAGTTCCAACTTATGGCAACCTTTTCCAGGTTTTTCAAGGTATGGGGTATAGTATTCAGAAGTTGTTTATCATTCCCTTCTTTTAGAAGTGCTCTGGGATTGTGTTGTGCAGCTTGTCCAAGGATAGCTTGATTCTTTCTCCCAGGGGAAAAAGTGGGGAATCAAATTCCCAGCCTTTGGCTCTGCAGCCAGATGGCCAACTCACTGAGCTACCTGGCCAGTCTCCCCTTCGTGATAATGCTTTCTTTCTTTGATGAATGGCTTCCAGGACGTATAGTCTGTCCTTTGAAGTTTGAATTCACTTCCAAAGGCTGCCTCAACCACATCTCTGCAATGTTAACATTCTTCATCTCTAATGTCTCTTTCTGGCCCTGGCTAGACATTCTGTGGCACAGTTGTGAAAGGTTTCTACAATTTATTTTACACACCATGCACACATACAAAAACAGTGGGGAAACACAGAGAAGTCCCAAATAATGTTTTCCCCCCATCAGCATACTAGTCCCAGCCAATGTAACTCAATTGGGAGAAAAATACTGCATGCTGTTTTTTGATAATCCGTGATACAAAGAAATGGAAATAGCAAGCCCTGCTCCCCACTACATTGGCTTTATTCAGCAGAGATGATGGGGTTAAAATATACAAGCAGTGCATGTTAAATCTTAGCCCCAGTCTGTCCCTGTTAACATTATGGCAAGTGTACACTGGAATTCTTACCAAGTCAGAAAATTCTCATCCACTCTGAATTCATCCAACACAAGTTTTGTGTTTTATTTTGTTTTCCTAATCCATGAAAATTATGTTAACACCAAAGTTATTGAAAAACATATTCTGCTCTTTTGTAACCTGTTTTCTTCTCTTTTCTAGGTGGCAAAAAGTGGTGTGGTCCAAAGCACTTCAACTCAGCGGGCTGAGTCTCAGGTGACCAAGACAGCTGTCATTATGATTCTGGCCTTCCTTCTCACCTGGATGCCTTATGCTGCCTTTGCTCTGACCAAAGTGGTGAAGCCAGAAGTGACCATGGACCATTACCTGCAGAGCATCCCTATGTACATGGCTAAAACAGGCACAATCTACAACCCAGTGGTTCACATCTGTCTAAATAAGCAGGTAAATCTCTTCTTGCCTGCTCTGTAGTGTAGAATTCCTCTTCATTTTTCAGATGAAGTCTTGGTTATTTATTTAAGGGGAAAAGATGCAACCCACTTCAGCTTGGATTAGAACACTGTTTTTCAATTATTCCATTTGCCAAGTCCATAGCCTCCTCCTTTTCCAAACAAGGAATAAAATGGCAATACCTCCTTATACAAACTGTGAATTCAAAATGAATCAGAAATCCACTTTTCTGCCAGACCTATACAACCAGAATAATCATTGAGAGGCTAATTTTACATTCATGATCAATGTCCTGAGTTAGGTTAGCGCTGTTTTCTCTCAAGCTGCTGACAGCATTGCTTTGGAATTGTGATACCTTCAAAGACCATTTATTCCATCTCACTCATTTTCCATCCCCTACAAAGGTTGACTCTGTTGCCATCATCAGAGTTTGGCCTGATATTAGGCCATACAGTACTTTAGCAGCAAGGTGTCTGGCTGTAATAATGCAAAGAATGGATCCGGGAACAAGGCTGTCTGTCATTAGGGTGGCCTGTTTTAAATCTAGAGAAAGAATCCTCTCCAATTGCTTATTTGCATACAGCTAAAATATTAGCACATACCAATAAATGACACCAATATTGTGTTTTCCCCACTACTGGGAGGGGAAATGGGAGTCCCTGAGGAACCTGTGCCAATTTTTGTCTTGGTAGTGCAGAAACAGGGAAAGGTTGGCCCTACAGATGCTTTGGATGTCATCTTCAGCATGGAAGTTGTTTATGGGGACTGTGAGAGCTGAAGTCCAAAAAACTGAAAGGCCTGGCATTCCTCAGCCTTGAAGCAGGGTACTGTATATTGGTAGTAATCTGATATTCCCATGTTGCTTCTGTTCCACATAAGATTATTCTAAGGCATACTTCTCCCTGTTTTGCAGTACAGAGAAAAAGTTCTATCCTCCTTACCACGCCTACAGAAACGTGCACTCCTGCCTGCTAAGTTCAAGGAGCCAAACAACTTCATTACAGCTCTCAAAAGACTGCAAGGGAACCAACTCAGCTGCAATATGAACAAGATAGCCCCTCAGGGTGAAATGAATATCAACAGGAACCTCCTCTTGCCGAACATGAAATATCCAGATGACTCCTCCTCCTCCTCCTCCTCATAGTCCCATCCGCCAATGTCCATTCCCAGTTACTTTCTGGTCCAACATGGCTCCTTCACTTCACACACCCGTATATTAAGGGGAATGCCACAGGAATGCCACAGCGAACCTTCAATGGAGCTGGGCCTCAGCAGGAGCACAACTTA